GCAGGTACTCGTCCTGTGCACGTGCTCGCGAATATGGCTCTGAGAACTCACTCACGTTATCAGGCACCACACTTACACAAGTAGATAAAGTGAGATTCCTTGGTGTTATCATAGACCATGAACTATCCTGGGAACCCCAACTAGATAACATAAAAAGTAAACTAACTACAAGTATAGCTATAATTAAACGTATTATGAAGTTTATTCCAGAAACAGAGTACCATAAACTGTATGACTCCTTATTCAAGTCTCATATGAGCTACTGTATCAGTAGCTGGGGTGGTGTCACACCTCATAGACTATCTAAACTGTTCTCCATCCAAAAAAGATGCGTACGCCTTCTATTTGGAAGCAAACCAAGCTTTGACCGGGCAGAGTACTATGAAACATGTGCACGTGCAAGACCATACAGTGAACACATCGCAAAAAGGAGCTTTGCTTTGGAAAACACTAAGCCAATTTTCAATACCGAGAAAATCATGTCAATCCACAACCTGTACATCCAACATATATCCACTGAACTGTTTAAAATCTTGAAACTGCATCAACCCATCTCTCTGACAAGTTTATTCCAAACAAGTTCCAGAACATGTAGCCAAACTATGCGGGTCCCCCGACACAAACTTGACATTTCTAAACACAATTTTGTCGTCAAAGGTACGACTATATGGAACAGTTTGATTGATAAAATATTCGACAAATGCACTCCTAATGAAAACAATGTCATGGTCCCTGGCTCTAGTAAATTTTCCGACCTTTCCTCCCCCATCTCAATTATCAAGAGCCGTATCAAAAAGCTGTTACTGGAAACCCAGCAATTGACAACACCTGGGCGTGAAATTGAGTGGCTCCCCCTAAATAGCTGGGGCATTGAACCAGCTTAGTTGATCAGCATCCCATCCCTTGCATACAATTAATTACAAAAGCGCTAATTATACCTGTTTCAAAAGCATCCTGTCTGGAAGTTCCCTGACTGCCGTGTGAATCTTTGGATCTATTTTTGGCTCTATTTTTATATTGATATGATTTTTATATACCTATATATCCATCGCATAATTTCCATGTCCGCCTGAACAAACCTGGCACCATCAAATCTTACCTCTAGAAACCCCAGAACAAATCAAGCCTAGTCTGAATTCAAAACTAGTTGACCAGCTACGTACAGTTTCCTGGACAACTGGAACCTTTTTGGGCCATGCACAAGCCAATAGCATGTATGGTCCTGCAGTGGGGTCTCCTTGTCCTTGGATCTGTGTTTTGATCCGTCTTTTCTTAAAATTTTCAATTTGTGTCACTTAGACTCACCTATTAAATGTTAATCGACACCACTGGTCCTAGTTAGATTTAGCCAAGGCACGACTACTCAAAAGTAACAGTTAAATAGGTGTGACATACTATTATATTCTTATAATTATATCATATGAATTGATTGCACTGCTAATAAATAAAATACTTTGTTTTACTAAAATACTTTGTTTTTACATTCATTGACATTTTTTTTTTTTTTTTTTTGGTCGAGGGCGCTCACTCTACCTCCCCGGATTAGCAAGGAGGCTACGTCCGCCTTGTGGCTAACGTCTGATGGAGCTCCTTTGGACTGCAGGCTTTGTACCTTTTGCTCTGCTTGGCATGGGGTTCGCAGAGCCCGGTACGTCCAAAAGACATAACATAGTTATGACCCGGTGGATCGGCGATGACCCTAAGGTTATCTGCCATAATGATCCGTCATCGAGAGACTCCATAGAACCCGTCTGGAGTCAGGTGTCGAAACACCTTCCCGGAAAAGGTAGTGCGTTACTTCGAGGAACTACCACCGCATTATGCTAGCGGGCCTGCCCTGGTGATCCTCGAGGTTGAGTCGTGCTTTTAGTATTTAGGAGGATCGAGTTGAGATGATATTAAACTCGAACCCTGGTGTGATGTTCCTTTGGTTTATCTTTGGTTTCACGTATTTATCTTTTTGACGTCATGTGGTGCCGTTTGTGAAGTAGTCTATAGTTGCTCGTGAAAATATGTTCGTGCGCGGTATTTCTATGCTAGTTTGACTTGGCGCTTTCCAGACTCTTCCTGTTGTAGAGCTGAGAGCTGAGAGCGCTCACTTTGGAGTTTTAGTGATATTCCGTGGTTTATATGGTTTTGCGGCTGGTTCAATAATGTCATTTTTCCATGACTGGATGGGTTATTTTGTCCACTTTCCGTGGCGGAGTAGATAGTGCCAGTCTCTGTGTTTGAACTGCTGATGTGATTGAGTGAGTGAGATGCTGCATTGCTACTGGCTGACTCGCCAGCAGCAATGCAAGTCCAAGAAGAAAGAAGGAGAGACACTGTCCGTTTTCTGGGTGAACCACCACCGACAGTGCTCCCACTTCTGTGGGGCTGAGGGTGTTGGCTCCAAGAACCAGCCGTGAGCGAACAGCGCCTGACCCCCTCTGTGGTTAACTTGAGAATAATAGGACTATGCCATTCTCCAGGCCAATCCGTTCAGTAACCAGCTGACCCAGCACCACCTCTGATGGAAGATGTGGTTCGGATTGGACTTCGCTAGGATTTGTCAGTTTTTCTGTATACACTAATGCTCCCTCGAGGAGAGACATGAGCCCCGGAGAAACTGACCAAAAAAACGTGACAAGGATTCTCACCCTATTCATTGACATGCTAGCTATATATACATTAAATATCCGCAAGCAATACTCGCGCGCTGCACTGCGCGCTAGTTGTCATGGTAACTAACGGAAGGAAGGAAGGACTGACGACATATTTATATCCACTTAAATTACCTCGTTATGAGAGCTCCAGAGTATTATTTTCGTCAATTTGATACCGAAATTATTGGGCAAACTGACATAATCCGACATACCCTGACATATCTCGACACGTCGGGATATGTCGGGGTCTGTCGGGGTTTGTCGGAATATGTCGGGGTCTGTCGGGGTTTGTCGGGGTTTGTCAGGATATGTCGGGGTGCGTCGGGGTGCGTCGGGGTGCGTCGGGGTTTGTCGGGGTTTGTCGAGCCTGGAGGCTACATGATGCCTTATTTGATTTATTGATAAATTCAATCATCCGGTCGTTAAATCATTGTCAGATAACTAGTTATTCTTCAGTGGTACCACGTGGTACTTAATTCAGTGATTCAAGATGTAATGTGTCTTACATTTTAGTAGAGGCTCTTACGGGCAAAAAGACGTGTTTTCTGCTACGAGTTTAGAGACCTAACCGCTAATTGGACACAATAGTATGATGTCTAAGGATCGATAATATGTTAAGAAGTATAAATTTGGCCTTATTAGTCACGTGCTATACCAATGCGCGTTTTAAACTTTGACAGTCTATTACTCTAAGGCAAATAAAGTAATTATATCCATATTTTGTCAGCAATAAGATCACATTATTTTCTATTTAGTGTGAAAATATGAGCTAGAACGGACATAATCTCGCTGAGTTATAGCTGTTTGAAATTTATGATGAACGCGCGGGTGCCAATTGATAACAACTAAATGCTTTTGCGCGTAGTGCGCGTCGAAAATTTGGCAAAAACGCTTGCGGAGTGACAATATTCAAACTTCGATTAAGTATATGAAGTGGGTACTTCTCGGAAAGGAAAAATTTAGGCAAACACGATGTGACTATTTTTGGGTTGATTTAATACAACTGCAAAAAATTATTCAAACTTAAAGCAAAAAAAGTCAAAATTTTTACCACTTTTTTGGATTTTTACCTCAGAACAAATAGAGGGATTTGTTTTATTTTTATACAATCTTGTGCGGCTGTCTTTTAGCTATCTTTATGCAAGTTTTGCCGACATGCCAACAAAATTAACTTGCTCAAAATATCAAAAAACATGGTTTTTTGGCCTATTTTTGGCCCAAAAATCGGTTTTTTGCGATTTTACCCCAGAACAATCAGTCCAATCATCTTGAAACCACTTTCAATCGATTCTACGGTCAAAAATACGTCTAGTAAGGTGTATCTGGGGTCCCTAACGTATCGAGCAGACAATGCCCGTAAGAGCCTCTACTATTTAGGTAATCCAATAACCAGTTTTACTGCAATAAATTGTCATGGTAGCGAGATAGGGCTCAACCTAGTAAACATTGGCGGGAATGATTGATTCCCTCCTTCCTTAGGTTTGCTCTTGCAACTTTGTAACAATGTTTGTTTGTATACCTCCTATTTGACCTAGTCAGTGTTTCGTGAGTGTTAAAAACAGTCAGTCGAAGTCACTTATATGATATTAAATCTTCATATTTTTCATGTTTAAGTTGATTGCCACGTACTGTGTAAATCGAGCATAGGAACGTGATACCCAGAAGTAATTCAGAAGTGTAACATGTTCATTATTCCAAAGTTCATTAATAATAAGGTAGATTCAATTTACAGTAAGGTAGATTCATTAATAATAAGCTAGATTCGATCCTGGCAAATTAATGTAATTTTTCGTCGTCAATGGCTTTCCTTTTCTTTAATGGGGCCCCTCATCTAGTTGTAGTTCCCAAGCTTGGTCAAAGTTTAACATTTTTGTCGTGTTATTTTATATTCACCATTGGTATTAGATCAGAATGTTTCTTAGCCAAAGATAAGGTATCTAAAGATAAGGTTTCTTAAGATAAGGTTTCCTAGTGTTAATGAGTTTTGAGGTGATTTACAGATGTCATTCCATCGTGTCCCAACTACGACTACACGTAAGTTAATCGACTCTGGAAAAAGTTCACTGTTGTGAAAATGTCTTTGTTTTTAAACTGTAATTCCAGTTTACTGTTCATGACCGCTTACTGCGAGGATTCCAGTAGCCCTGGCTCCGGTAGACCTTCTATTTTTAGTACAGACAACATTAATCGGAGATGCATGATCCCATTAATAAATTATCAATACAGTGTACACTGTTCTTCTACACCTGCCTCTATGACAAAGGACTCGCAACATTATTAATAACTTGATTATTAATAACTTACTGCATATTTTTTAACGAAATTTATTGTATGATAACGTTTTCGTAATTTCAGGAAGGAGAGAATCTTACATTTGAGGACAGTTCACCTCTGAAAGGAGCCGCTCTGGATCTTGAACTAAAACTCAGAAAATACCAGTCTCAAATCGGCGACAAACCAAACAAAAAGAACGCCCCAGTGAGTCTGCCTTTTTAAGTGTCTAACACTCATAACATCCATAATCATAACATGCAGATAAAATTTATCTGCCTATCATCAATCATGAAAGATTCCAGACGTGTAGTGTTATTGAGTCCCATTCAATGATTCTTTCAAGAGAATTTAAGTATTTTTCTGAATAGACTCATTGATAACAATCTTCTAATGTTTAAATATTCCAAACTTATTTTTACAGATGGGTGGTTTCAGTGGATACACGTCCCTGTTGTTGAGGTCTGTATCAACTATGATAGGCTATTTAACAGAACAGGAAGGGAACACATTGGACGAAAGAGGCATGAGGAGTGAAGTAATTGAAACCATGTCAGCTTTGCAGAATACTGTGGAAACGCTGTCGACTGTAAGTGGAGTTTGTACTCAAATTGTATAGCTGTAACATATTTCCAATGCTTTATGTCTGAGAGGATTTTGCGTCTCGTTCATAATGGTTTCGGCTCTTTGTGACGGAGCACTCAGAAACGAATGGAGTCCGTTATTTTGTGCTATTATTGTCACAGTTTAAAATATTAGTAAACGTAGCGCGCGAAGACCCACGAATTCACGGGCGCGTTATTCTGTTGTTAATTCTACTCGGCCCACAGTTTATACTCGCGTGACAGCATGCTTAAAATATTTTAGAGATGTCACACTGATTTTATAATAAAAAGGCGGGAATTTAAAATGTGATCGATGTGGGACGGTAATTTGAAACTATCAATTTATTTCCTATTCCTTTAAGAGGGAAAAGGGTAATGTTATCTCTGAGCTGTTCACTGACATAATTAGGATTCCATCATTCCATGTCGGACCTATACTGTCCCGGCCCAGTGCCCACCCTCTTTCTTATGTTTAGGCTGTTACAGTAGGTAGCATTATGATGCCGACAATAGAAACAGTGTAAAATTAAGATTCTTGTTTATTGATGACTTGGTTCATTTTTGGCCGCGGACAACTTTGGGCATCTCGCGGCAGTTTCAAACTTCATAACCTTGAACTCCACTGGCGCCTGCATGTGGTCAATGAACTAATGAATAACACCATTTGTCAAATTTATCAAACAAATCTAAAAAGTTCATCAAGAGCAAACCATTACAAAATTAAGAATTCGATTTAAAATAATCATTATCATCATAACAATTCAAAAGAAACCTTACTACACACTATCTACAAAATTCTTGTAATTTTATCAAACTACCTACACCCTTCACTCCGCACACTTATCCAAACTAAAACCAACACTATTATCTCCCTCAAGTAAAGGCACTGTTTCGTCAACCTGCTTACATTTACACCAATCTGTAACCGCCATTGTTTCTGGCATGTGTTCCAAACTGTCCGGTAACATCCGCCCCTTCGTTTCTGGCAACTTCATGCACAGTACCATCATGTACAACACTATTCCGATTTCAACAGAGGTTATGATTATTTCATCTTTATCAAAGTTTTCGGCTCTCGAGAAGTTCTTGGCTGAGCTGAGTATTCCACCGAGTGCAGCGCCGGCAGTTGCTAACCCCACTGCTCTGGCTCTGAGGGGGGTTATGTGCACTTCCAGGGAGTATAGTGAGCTGAGGTACACTAAACCTGGAGCTACTATCCTGAGGTGCAACGTAATTAGTATTGTTTATTATTAGGTAATTATTAATTAGCACCAAAATAAACCCGAGCTTCTACAAAATTAAAGATCGTACAGTATAGCAAACTCACCTTATAATGTAAGAGCTGACTTCAGAAACTATGTGTTTCCTCATTGTAATCCCCATGCTTAGCAGCATTACAAGCGCCACCAGGATCGCTCCCAGCTCCAACACCACAGTGGGTCGCCTCCCTACCAACTTGCACAGCAAACCCGTTAACACAACTCCAACAAGGTTAACACAGCCACTTAGTATAAAGTTGATGGCTCGAGCTTGTTCGGAGTTCTTGAAACCGTACCGTTGGTAGCTGTGCTGGGACATGATAGCGTCCATGGAGGTCTGTGTGAAGTCAACTAGAAGGTAAAAGCTCAGGATGCTCAGCTGCAGCAGGATTAACGTTATCATTCCTGAGGAATTATTATTTTATTTTTATTGAAGGCCTGTTGCAATGAAATATACGTATTATCCTATCTAGTTTCTTTAGAAATTAAATCCACCCTTGTAATCTGACTAACGTACTTTACATTTATATTTTGCTACGATGAAGGTTGTATTGAAATAAAATGTGATCTACAACAGTACACCATAAGATTTAATCACTAAATAGTCTACTCACTAGATTTTTTAAGAGTAAAGAAGTCCCTGATACTGTACTGCTCATCCTCTGGTTGCGGAATGTCCTCATATTTGGGCATCGCCACCTTGCTCTGGTACGCTATCTTGTTCAGCATGTACTGGGCTCTGTCTTTCTGAAGGGTTTTAACAACTTTAAGAAACGGTAGATTTATTTTGTCTCTTAAATCTTAATCCATAAAATGTGGAGGGTGCTTAAAATAAAAGTCATAAAAGAGTAGTTGCACAGCAAAGTAGTGATGACAAAGTCTGGTATTGAACTTACCTTTTGTTTGATAAGGAGCCACCTTAAGGACTCATCAATACACAGTACGTAGATAAGCAAGAGTAAAACATTGAAGACAACCACACACGCCACCATGTCGATATACCGGTGAAATAACATACTCAGCAGTCCGAGTACCATCGTACCTGTAATCAGGACATCAGGTATTGTAATCAAGCCAACAAACACTAACTATGCGCACTATGCGTCGCAGTGTTTTGATCATATCTCTATTTTCTAATCTCTCTCTAATCTCTGGGTTATGGATCACATATTGGTCATAAAATCTCTTCACTGGTCTTGGTTCTTACCGAAAGAGAAAGAGCACCAAATGGAGGCGAGGAAAGTGTGTCTGAACTCAACTTTAAGGCCCTCTATAATCAACGTCCCACAATTCACGAAGTACCCGATACACAGACCAGTGAAGTATCTACGGATAATGGGCGTGTCAGTTGTCACTTGCTGGAAAATATAAAAATAGATTTCTGTAGAATACAATGTTTCTTCAGAATTATGCACCAACACTCAAAACTCGAAAGATGAAAGATCATATCAATGTAGTCATGATATCACCAATTCTACATATTGTAACATTATCTTGAGTCATGCATTAGTGTGTACTGTGTAAGCTACCTTAAAATGAGGAATCCGATATAACTCCTGACTGCAATGAGTAGTGACAGAGACAAGGATTCCATGAACAGGAAGAGTATGAGCGAAGTCTTCCTTCCGAACTGATCTGATACATATCCTGCTAGAACACAACTTGGCAGCATGCCCAAGTAGAACAGTATTTGAGGCAGGCATTGCTCCCTGGAATAAGTTATTATTCAAATTGAAAATATTTTATTTTGATATATACTTATATAGATGATGACGCAATCGATACGAATTCCCTCAAAGGTTGTAACTATCTTGTACGAACCACATATGACAGGGGTAACTGACCAGTAATCGTGACAGAGAAGGTTGTAAGTACTGATGACAGTCTCCAGGGGATAATTGTACTGCCACAAGGTCTGATCTGCTAGTCTGCACACGTCTGTAGGCTCACCGTTATACACTATACAATTGCTCCTATCATGGTTCCATACGCAGACCTGTAATATTATATCGGTCGATCCTTCCGTCTGTTTGAATCCTTTCTCCCTATTCTTGAGTAGACTTTAAAGTTTTCAATTCATAAATTTAGATTGTTACCACTTACCGAAGTTTGGATGGAATTTAGACTTACCTCTGGTTCTTCGGTAGTCACGATCTCTAGAAAGAGAACAAATGAAGTAGGGATGGCCGCCAAAGACAGAGAAAAGAGCATGAAAAACTCATTTGCCCCGAATACATGTCCAACACGCTTTATCACATCGTCCATGTGGCGATGGAGGCGATAGAACGGGTCTAAGGAGTGAAGTGAGTTTTTTTACTACAACCTACATCTCCTTGATCATCTATCTAGACGGAGGTATCTGGTTTAAAAAGCAAATCAGAAAAAGTTGTATAGAGATGATTGCATAGTAAAAAAGTTTCTCAGCCGTAGTTTGACGGCTATTAGACACAAAGAAAGGAGTAAACCAATATTCAAACAGATGGTAGCAGGAAAGTGTGAAGTTGTCAAAGTATGGCGGACAGTTGTCAAGGTAACTGTAGTAAATAATTGTGTTCAACATAAGGGGTTTAGAATTCAGAATCTTTAACAAGGATGTTACAAAAGACTGAGACACACGGCGATAAAGATCACCGACGAAGCGCTTGAATCTATTCATTATATTAATAATTTAACTATTGTTTTGTAAACTATAAATTAATAACCGTTCCATTAAACGTGAGATAACTATTTTGCTAAGTGTAAAGAGCCGCATAGAAATAATAAAGGCGGCACGTATAGTCTGTAAAACTACATACATTAACCTAACCTGGGCCCTAGACCTGTCCTGGAGTGAACAACGTATTCTATTCTAAAACACCTGGTCAAATTGTACATATCAACTTCGTAATTGTGTTTTAGAAAACGAGTTAACGAGATTCGAGTTTCAACGTTACTTCAGTTATCGTCGGATGTAAAGCTGATTTGGCTAAGTGGCTAACAGTTTCTGGAAACTATGAGAAACTATAGTCCAGAAAAAACATGCACCACCGCATCAAAACGGGAGAAAGAAAATCAGAAGTCTTGCTGGAAAATGCACATTCATTTTATCGTTAGTCGATGTAGATTGAAGAGAATGAAGGTCGGCTAGACTAGCTAAGGGTTTCAAAACAACATGGAATTTTGTTGGCTTAGCACACACCACACAGACTGTTACCGTATACATCATGTAGATAGATATATAGATATATAGATATTATATATATAATCTTATACAGCGACTTAGATTAATAAATGTGTTGAGACAATAATAATGCTCGCGTGTGCAGTTATTGTTAAGCACGATTTAATTATATTATGAGAAATATTTGAAACCACCCATCTTAAAAGCCCGACCAATCAACTTGCAAACTCGAGTTATCAAATTGTTGAATTAAGCAAATTGATATTTCGTTAACGCGTTACCAGCTACCACGCCTATAATCGAATGGAGGGCCGAGGGAGATTAAACTATCGCACATAATACCAAAGTTTACCCGCCGTATTACAGAGAATAGAGAGGGATTAACCTATCCTACCCGTAACTCAACTGTTGCCCCTAATACCAAACTACCGAGTGCTCATTGCCGCCCCAACTAAAATCATTGTTGTTCGCCGTCTTAATACTACTGTAACAAGTCGGCGTAATTTGCTAAAATGAGCGGCGAACGGGGAATTTCGACTATGACACGCAAGACTCCACAATAGTAACGAGGTTACTAACTTAAGTGTGTTTTGTTGTTTGCAATTCCAGGCGTGTAGCATGGGATTGTGTGTTATTGATAATAACAATGTTGTGTAGTTAAAACTGTAAATACTGGTAACTTTGTGAGGTGTTAATATCGAATTGCAATGATTGATACTTTAAGCAATATTAATCGACTAATACGTCGTGTGAATTAGCTAAAAATGTCGGCCCCGAAAAATTAGTAGGATGATAAGACAATATCAAAGAAATTATTATTTATTAGTTGTTGTTTGACATTCCCAGAGAATGCTCAACTGACCAGCTGAAGAATGTTGATGACAATAGAAACAATTAATTACTATTTACTGAAACACAAAGTAGTTGTACATTACACAAAATACGTTAATAACGTACTCTCTGAAAAGTATTTTCCACACAAAGCATACAATAAAGTAGTGTACAAGTTAATTGCAGATTTGAACGGATTCTAGTGTTGACTGTTGTGCAATGTTACCAATGTGTAACTGCCAAAAGATCAAGTGTAAAATGAATGTTGCAAAAAAGCTTTTGCAAAATACGTTCAAACGGCGAATAATTCATCAATCTCCGAATTTTAAAGCAAAGTAAAAGTCTGACGATGCGTACATCTAGGAAATGCATGCAATATGTGAGAAAGAAAAAGCTGATACCACAGCATAACGTTAGGGAGGAACTAAATTTGTGGCCTATCTACTCACGGCACTATTTATACTTTTATAGACAGTGATGTAACAGTTGTTCCATGAACCCAACACTCACGTGTAGCTAACATCCGCCTCTTTCTTTACTGTGGTAATGGTGTTGTGTTTACAAGCTTTATCTGGCTCTTTTCAATGATATCATATAGAAATAATATGTTTACTATCGGTTCGTCGGTCGTTGGTTCATCAATTATAGGAAGTTTTAGGATTCAGACAAGCTGACTAAAGGATCTTTTAAAAATAATGTTGGGAATATTTCTTTAGTAAGGTGTAATAACTACTTAATTTCAACTAGCATACCGAAGATTCCTCCACTAACTATTTCATATATCAGGAACTATTATCGTGCAGAAAGGACCTGTCGGAGACCAAACAGAAAGTTCAAGTAATGGAGCAGGATTACAGTTCAACTCTGATGTTCCTTATAGATAACTGCGTTCTAAAAGATCCTTCACTTCAAACCCCGCTCAGAGCTGAACGTATGTTCTAAGCTTTTAATTTATAATCTAGATTACGAGTGCTTATCAAAGATATATATATAACGATACAAATTAGACGAGCAACTTATGACTGTTATCCTGATTTATCGAATCAAGGCGCGCGAAATTATGGGGCTCGAGTAGTCGATTAGTGGCTGTAATTGCTCCAACTTTCATGGGTATATCTATGAAAGCTTATGAAGTTAAAGTTAATAAGAGGCTAGGCATGATATTAAACTTGATATGCAAGTTGTGTTAATTTACAACACATAATTTGCTCATTAAAATATGTTATCCTCAATCCTCCTCAGATTTGTATTTCAATTATTACCTCTGGTTTTGGAATTAATAAATGGTGATATCTTAATATCTTAATAATCCGTTCCCCCACCAGGTATAGAGCCGCTCCCGACTGTGATCTCCCCCTTCACCAAATCTCCCCCACAACCTCCTCCAGACACTACCCCCGATCTGTTGACCTTCACTCCTCACCCTAACAAATCTGAGAATCTGATGGAGTTTACTCCCGGTCAAGCTGACGGTCAGACTGCACAGACGGACTCTCTGGTTCAGATCACACCTGAAACTTCGGAGCAGTATTTACAGTACCTTGAGGAAAAGACAGAGGCACTGAGGAGTGGTCTTGATGACAAAATAAACAAGATGAACAAGCGCGAGGACAGAAGTGTGGACAGAGGTGCGGACAGAAGTGCGGACAGAAGTGCGGACAAAAGTTTTGTGTCGATAGAAAGTGAAAGTCCTGAGAAACCCGAAATAATAGATAACGAAAAGAACTCTCTTTTAGCTCAGAACAAGAGCAATTTATCCTGCATGAATTTTTCAAATCTAACGGAAGATGGTTTGGATTTAAGCCAAGATCTGGATGCTCTTATCAATAGATTGAAACAGATGAACGCTCAAACTCTTGCAGTTACCTCTCAGCAAATGGGTCTTACACCGAGGAAAGCTGACGCAGATGTCATCGAAAGCGTTAAAAATATCAAGGATTTGCTTGACGTTGAGCAGACTAAGCCGCAGGAAGCAGCGACGAGAGTCATTGAATCCTACAACAGACAGTCTGATTTTAGTCCTTCCCAGCTGCTACCTGATGTTCAGGAAAGTACACCTAACTCTGATAGTAAGCATTCCAAGCGTTCCAATGAGCTCTCAGCCCAGAGTCTGCACCCTGCAGAGGTTAGCCCCATCTTTATTTCCCCTCCTGATGTAAATAGTGCTTCTTCTGGTCGAATTTCTGGCGAATATATCGGCTCATTTTCTGGAACTGAACCGGTAGCAGTGAGACCACTGACTCCAAACCCGCTGTCTCCTCGCCGAGTCGAAGAAGAGATAAGACGATCAACTCCTGACTGTAAAATCTCAGGTACTCCACCTAATGAGACTCATTCAGTGTCATCTAGCCCCCCTGGAAGCCCCTCCAATTGTCTGGATGTCTCTTTTTCGGACACAAGCCCCACAATTTGTCGCTCCTACTCCTCCATTTTACAGTCCCCCTCCGCATTCTCTCCCCCTACCAAGGAAGGAAACGAACCTTCCTCGACCGAATCTTCTCCTAAACATGACAAAACAGCTATGATAAACGATTTCCTGTCCCACAATCCTCACTACCTAAAGAAGATATCAGAAAGCCTGACCAGTGCCTCTCTCCCATCCTTCCCAACTTCACCAACTCAAGTCTCCACCGCGAGGTTAACTAAGGATGACGGGGTACCGAATGAGACCGAGAAATCACCATTTGTCAAACCAACTGGTGGTAGTCCAGGTGATTATCTTGAAGGATTATAATGATTGTTTTGGAAGATCTTTATTTTCTTTAGATACGGACTAAATTAACCTTTTTTGATTTGACAGGATGATCCCAATCTTCCACACGATAAGATAATATCGTATTTTGTATTCAGGTGTACCGGAGGCCGTAATCAGAGGATCTGTCTTCAAAAATATCGCCAAATTCGAGAAGAAACTGGAAGAAGCAGAACTGGAGCGAGAACGCAGCATCTCTCCCAAAAGGTCCCCCACACGGAGAGGAAAGGGGTCGATAAAAAGGGCGACGAGAAGTGCATTGTCACCGGAGAGGAAGCCTAACTCTCCTAAAGTCAAACATCGGGTGTCTTGGGAAGGAGACTTAAATGATCAGGTTGGTTTTCAATTTGTTGTAAATGCAAATTGTTCTGTTTTTAACCTTAGTGTAAAATTCTTGGATTTTGCAATTTACATATTATGAATCTTATATTGCTTAACCTTTGTCGCCGTCCAGTTTTGTTGATCTGCATATGTCTGTAGACAGAAATGGAATATAAAGCAGGAATTTGAGACAGCTGTGTGGAATGTGTGGAATGTGCGGTGATTATGTGAGGGTGGGTCGTGAGGTATTTTGAAACGAGTTGTTTCATGAACAAGAGCAGCAATTTATCTGATATTTGTATTTCTGTGAACGGTAGAGGTATTCGGACTGAGTGAGAAGATTAAAAGCCCAAGTTTTTCCTTTTTCATCCCAACAAGCACTTCATTTTTACCAAATTATCATTTCTACTACTATATTTCATCATAAGGTAATCATAAGATAATGATGAATGATGATGATATTATAATCGATTATTCGAAATAAAACCAAATGTTAACATTCTCCAATATCAGGATTCTCCACCACCAAAAAACAACATCAAACCTACGAAAGGGGTTGAACAACAAGAAGAAGAGTCGGAAATAGTGATGAAACCTGACAGATCTCTGCTTCCGGAACGACGCATTCCTGAAAAAACTAAAGATGAACGAAGAGTCACCAAAAAGACAGTAAACGGCCGGAAATCTCCAGAGGAGAATACTAATGGGCGGGCTCCGGAGAAGGCAGTCCAGGGAAAACGTGCACCTGAAAAGAAGAAGGTGGCAAATGGATCGCATCCAAAAAATGGGTCAACACCGTCGGCTGCTGATCCCAAGGGAAAGAAAGACACTCCTCCACCTCCTCAGAAACAAGAAGGAGATGTTAAGTCAACAGGGAATAGAGAGCCGAAGCTCTCATCTCAATCATCAGGTACTTTTCAGATTGGGTAGTCGTTATTTCGGGAATTATGTTACGATTGTCACGGTAATTCAAATATCCCCTAATGCTTTAAAATGGATATTGGTGGACAAAATCATGCTTGGTATTTTACTTGATAAAATTTTATAACCATACTTTGTTACCGTATGTATAATTACTTCAGTATTTTGAACATAAATTATGCCCATTTATCAATTATCATGGTCGATAGTCATTGAGTAAATAACTTTAGGAATTCGGGACATCAAGATGATAATTTTGACAAGCAGATAATTTTGATGCTGTGGTTGGGCAACATCTAACAGCCCTTTCGGTCAGGTCTATATTTTGAAGAAAATCATTACAGCCCTCTAACAGCCCTCTAGCAGCCCTATAACAACCAGCTGTTACGGTAACAGCCCTCTAACAACCATTTTAATGGGGGAAATGCCTAACAGTGCAGCCCTCTAAAAGCCCTGTAACAGCTTGCTAATGATCATTTTAATTGCATTTCTATCAGCCATCTAACAGCCCTTTCCAGTCAGGTCTATATTTTCAGTAAATTCTAACAGCCCTCTAACAGCTAGCTAATAGCCATTTTAATTGCATTTCTAACAGCCATCCATAAGCCCTTTCCGGTCAGGTCTATATTTTCAGGAAATTCTAACAGCTCTTTAACAGCCGGCGCTTACTTGTGATTTGCTATGACTATTAGCCAGCATTGTACTTATTGGCCCCTGTGATTGTTTCTTAATCTAGATTTTAACTCCCCTTCCTCTGTAGGCAGTGACCTCATGGACAGGCTGATGTCGATGAACGACGCGAAACTAACAGAGTTGGTCACAACCCTCAATAGGCTCAGTGAGAGATGAGACTCCAAAATACTGAGTACAGGAAACTGAGGAAACTCCAAGAGAACTGCAATGCTTGGACTCATGATAGATATTTCCTGATTGCATGAAAAATAACGATATCCTCGAGTCAGAGTCAGAGGCTGACTTGAAACTTTATAGTACGATATTTATAATGTCCCGGAATTTGTTAAGATTACTTTCTGATTTGTATCTAAGTTCCGACTGACAAATGACGATCATATGACATACCTTATATTTGCAATAATTATGGGAGCAGTATTTTAACTTAATATGTGTTGTATTTAGATTATTCTGTACAGGAGTATGTAAATTAATAAAATGTGGTTTAGTTCCACTTGATGAGTTATGACTATTATCACCCCCTTCTTTATCACAGCTATTTCATTTCAGAACTATGATACCCACAGTTTGAGTTATGTGATGCAGATATTTTAATTTAGTTTATTCATCAAGTTATTGATGAAATATTGTGTTATTATGAGCGCCTTAATAGAATGAATTAAACTGAAGGTTTCTGTTTAATAATAAAATGAACTTGCTAACATGCTATAGAATATGACTCTATATTATTCATCTAAAATGGGCTATCATTATTTAAAAAGCCAGCTAAAATAAACACGTGGACGTGTCACACGACAGGCATCACCTCACAGTACTTTCAATTTCAAAATACAATATTCAAGTCTCAATCCTGTCAGCATAATGTCTGTCATTTGGAAATTTGCCAGCAAGCGTCCTTTATGTTGCACACGGATGAATTGTATTCCGGTGTGACTTGCATCTGAAGCTTGACGTTGGTTGCGATTGATGGGTCAGGAGGAGAAATCATCAAATTTCATATTAATCGACATAATTTTACTGCTGATTAATTTAATCTTAAGTCCAAATCCAATTTCTTGTCACGTCCAAGTTTAATAAGTACTGGATCGAAGCTATGAGGTTGCTAGAAACAGACAGCACAGAAAGCAGAGTAAGCGGAAACTTTTCGCTTTGACGCACTGCTAGCTCAGCTTATGAGAGGGAATTAACAATTTTAGTTAATTTGAAAGTGACATCTACAAGCACAATCTAGAGTGATCTTCTTGCTCATTGCTAGTGTACGCAATTCTGCTTGCCACCCCGTATCCAGACACTTGCCACATCTTTAATGCTAGTAGGCTTGTGTGTCCCTTCATGCTACCAAATATTGCCCACCTGATATTATACTTCACGACAATTTACCTGGGGACCCCAGGCTATAATGCTCATAAACATGACACATTCCGAATAGAGATTTGGCGGAATCAGGAATGACAGGCTGAGCGCCGCCCAGTAACACGACAATCCGTTGCAATACAGGGGTTCCCCGGTTCCAGGAAACCCACTTCCCGATACTCCTGAAACTTGAAAAAATTTTACACCCGATTTGGTCAATATCTAGACTCTCTGCAAAATTTCAGAACTCTACCTCAATTTTAAGATGGTTTTAAGGCACCTGAATATGGTGATTTTTTGTTTCTTAAAAAATTCCACATAACTATTTCTTATTCCTTTCATCTTTGACATTGAATTAGAATGTTTTGAACTTAAAATATGCCTGCTGAACGACTTTCGATGAGTCTTAATGCATGCAGTCCAGCGGAGGCAGTTTTAGTATTAACATTTATACCTTTCACTGCTTTTCTGCTATTATATATAACTAGAAGTAGAAAGCCCGTTACGTGGTCACTACGTACATGGAGGAAGTTAATATACTAATAGTATATATATAATATAATAATATTAATACTAATAGTACTCTTTGGTAGTTTTTTTTTCGCATAAAAAAATATCCGTCACAACCGGAGACACAGCCGAATCGGCTGTGTCTTCGGTTGTGACGGATATTTTTTTTCTTAATCGGCGATTTTTTTTTCTTAATCGGCGATTAAGATGTAGCTCGCACTGAAAGTGAACACAACGTAATCACCACAAAACCGATAAAAATGACGCTCGCAAATCTTTGCACGTGTACGTGCACGTTCAACACCGTTACCATGGTTACTATGCAACTTCCTATTTTTCATCTAATTTGCACGTGGGCGGTCGTATAAAAACAATTCTTTGAATTATAATATAGACTAGAAAGCCCGTGGTAACAGGGATGAAGATTGAAGCTAGTAGTATTCTTTGAAAGCAGGAATCGACCGGGAGTCCCGGTACCGGGATTGGCAATTTTGAGCTATCCCGGTCAAATGCTGATTTATGATCCCGGTCCCGGTTAATTCAGGATTCTTCATCTTGGTCCCGGTCAATCACTCAAATTTGCCGGGATTTTGACCGGGATCTTTTACATAATTTCATTCACTGTGATTTTAAGTTTTTCCTTTCATTCATTGTGAATTTCATCTTTAAACATCCTCTGAGCCAAATAAAACAATGTTTAAAATTGCTAAACAAGTTTGAGTAATAAAATTAAATTATGATCATGAATTAACCAGTAATCGACCGGAATTCCCGGTACCGGGATTGGCAATTTTGAGCCATCCCGGTACCGGTCCCGGTCAAGTCACATTTTTTATCCCGGTCCCGGTCAAATGCTGATTTATGATTCCGGTTAATTCAGGATTCTTGGTCCCGGTCCCGGTCCCGGTCAGGCCTGAAATCATGTCCCGGTCGATTCCTGTTTGAAAGAAATTTTTAATCGCATCAAAAAATATCCATCCCAAGTCCCAACCGAAGATACAGACGATTTAAATGTTAAACACTTTAAACGCTACGTAATTATGAATTACCACAAAATGCTGTTCCGACAATCTTTGCACTTGCACGTGTGCATTACAACACCGTTGCGTATTGCTATGCAACCGTTTGGTTTTCACCTAACTTCCTATTTTTCATATAATTTGCACGACGTGGGTGGTCCTGGTCGTACAGACAAAAAGGATTGTCTTAATTATAGTAGAGATACTATTACTAGCATTTAGCAACTAGGTATCCATTTAATACTACTTCCCCGTAATATTTGGCCATTGCATGATGTAATCATGTAGAACATGCAAATAAAGATCACTCGCGATCTGATCAATTTCATTCGCAGCTACTATAAATACCATTGGTATAACTATAAGCAACACCGCAGCGGCTCAGCCGACTAGTTCCTCAGTTTCTATCTTTCACTTTCTGGACGGAACTTTTAATTACTATAGACATAGTTTGGAAAGCTAATAATGATATTGGCATTGCATCTTTGTCTTGAGACTGAGTTTATTTGTAGTTGTACCCTGGAAGTGGAATAGGCTATAGATTAGATTTAGATCATAGATGAACAACGAAAGTTTTAAGAAAAACTGGAATATTCATTAATTAGAGCCAAAACTTCTTGCTATAAGTATAACTATAATTAGTATAGTCTTTACGGGTTTACCCAGCTTGCTAGTATATGGTACCCTTCTTGTACGTTTACAGGGATAATACTAATAGTAATAAGCTAATAGACTAGTCAAAAAAATGCGAGCGGAAGAAATTATGATAGGCGCGAACCAATCACAGTGCTGGCAAGCACGAGCGGTGTCTTTATTGGGGGTATACTATGTACCCCCTTTACTATTGTACCCCCTTTACTATTATACCCCCTTTACTACTATAACCCCTTTGGTACTCGTCGGAAGCCTCTTTCGTGCACGCGAAGCGTGCACTCCGGCCGGAGGCGGCGGCCGAAGGCCGCCTCCTCCGGCACGAGTTTTTCAGGCATTAAGACTCATCGGAAGTCGTTCAGCAGATTTATTTTTAGTTCAAAACATTCTAATTTGATGTCAAAGATGACAGGAATAAAAAATAGTAATGTTGAGATTTTTAAGAAATTTGCATAAAATACTCGCCAGCACTGTTATACGAAATTCGGTAAAAAACCCAAAATCGCCATATTCAGGTGCCTTAAAAACCATGTTAAAATTGAGTTAGAGATCTGAAATTTTTTAGGGCGTCTAGACGTTGACCAAATCGACTGCAAAAAAAGTTTCAGGTTTCAGGAGCATCGGGAAGTGGGTTTTCTAGATCCCCTGTTTTACGATAGATTGTCGTGATACATACATATATTCAGGGATAGACGCTTTGCCAGTCAATTGTAGCCTGTATTTAATTGTCCATAAATTCAAAAGTATAAAAGATACAGCCATTTCCGACCACAGGTTTTGCAAATAATTGTTTATACTTTAGTTTACATTGTATAAAAAAATTATATGCCGTCATAAACACCCCTTGATGACGTCATCAAGTTAACCATTTTTAAAACTTGATTTTTGACAAAGTAATAACTTTTAAAATTAATTTTAAACCATTAAGGAGTAATTTTATTCAAAGTCTGAGGAAATTTTCATCTTAGATAATTGTTCAAGCATTCTGAAAATCTACCGGAAAGTTTTTCTAGCTTGCTCCTTCATAAAGATATTCGTCATTGAAGTTTGTGCTTTTTTGAAGAATTATTTTATAAAAACGTCAAATTTGCGATTTAGTATTCTCTGATGTTGGGCCATGCCTTGGATTGTGGAGCTCAGTTCTGCTTCCTATAGGTAAAAATTGTGCATTAGGCTAGTTTTAAAGTTGAAAATCGAAAAGTTGCACACGTTGGGACACGCCCAAATTGATAGAAAATCGCTAAAATCACTGAAAATTGCTGTTTTCGTCATTTTCTGTCAACTTTAGAGTGCCGTTGTGATAACAGTTCTTCTTGAAATACTTTGAAACTTTGCATGCTTATCAAGCTATATATAAAACAATTACATGCAAAAATTTACGGCGATTCAATATTGGATGCTCACGCAACGTCTGCTCAAAGTTTGCACGTGCGAAAGGTGAGAATTTTGCTCATTCGTGATTTCCAACAAATTCTGCTTTGCCACGACAGTTTAATGTCATTATATATGAATTTAATGCCAACTTGAATGAGTATTAAATGGCATATTCAGTCAGTGATCGACCGATATGCTTCCCTAAACACAAGGAAATGTTTTTAAAGGAAAAATTTCGAAATCGTTGAAACTTCCTCCTTATTAATGAAGATATCAGTTTATATTTCGACTTTATAAAGTACCCTGACATTATAATCAAAAAGAGATGATATTTTACCAAAACCCATAATCATGGGTAGAGTGGACCGCTGTCAGTGTCTCTCTTTCCCAAACAAAAGGAATTGATATTACTTTGATTGACCGTTCTCAAATGTAAAATGATACCGAGAATGAAATCGGTCGCTCGCTTTTCCCATTCATTTACAATTGTAATAGATTAAGAAGAACTACCCAAAGGCAGCTGTACTCGGCAATGAAGATTCAATAAACTTCAGCTAATTCAATAAGTAATACTAATAACTACCACCCTTACCCCGAAATACTAGGTATCGACCCGAACGCAACCCAAAGAGATTTTTACAGCATCTGATTGATGTAATCAATCGAAACTTATTACAATTCGTAAGCCGTGAATGAATGGGAAAAGCGAGCGACCGATTTCATTCTCGGTATCATTTTACATTTGAGAACGGTCAATCAAAGTAATATCAATTCCTTTTGTTTGGGAAAGAGAGACACTGACAGCGGTCCACTCTACCCATGATTAT